GAAAAAAAAAACCTTGACATTAAGGTGCTTTTAATAATTTGTGTCAGCATTTACATTACAAATTAAACTCTACAGGGCGAAAGGGAGGGAGGGAAGGAGGGCCGTTCAACCCTCCCCCCCCCCCCCCCCACCACCTCACTTTCCACGCCTTCCTATTGGCTCACTTGCCAACCCGCAGGCCTATTCACTTTGATACTCCACTCACGGCTCAAATCATATTTGATGCGTTTTTTTCCTGAAAAAAATGTTCACTACACCTTTTGAGGAGAAGTTGATTAATTTATTTATCAACGAGAGCAAGTTGCATAGTTAATTGCTAATTTATTCCTCTTTTCAAATTGCTCTACGCCTTGCTAGTTGATAAATGGTGCTGGATGTGAATTTTTTTCCTCATTAAAAGGATTTTCCACAGAAAGCTCGACATTTGCTGTCGGCCCTCCTTCCTTCCTCCCTGCTTTCCCTTCCTTTGGCCAATTTCAGCTCTTTTTTTGCCTCATTTGTAACTTAAATGTCGCACCATCTTCCCCTCTATTGTCGTCGACTCCAAGGCTCTTCTTATAGGAGATCCTTTGGCAAAAGAAAGGAAACAATTGCACCATCTCCTCTCTTTGTTGTCATCCCCTTTCCTTCTGATCAGTCTGGAAATGGAAGTTGTCCATGCGACGGGTAGGGGATGACTAGCTGGAAGAATACCGAAAACTGATACCACCTTTTTTGTGGGACAATATGCAGTCTTTTGAGGCGGTGGTAGTGAGGAGAGGTGGAAGAGGAGGAGGCTTTCAAAATTGTAAACATATCACAGTATACCATGTGACTACCTCCGGCTGACTTGTCATGCTTGAGCTGTCATTTTTGCCGGAAGGAGTGTGTGCTTGTGGAGAGTACAAATCCATCTGTGCCAGAAAGTCTTGGCTGTGGGTGGATTGCGAATTTCAAGCGGGACGGCAAAGACCTCCAAATGTCTAGTCGGCTGGAGTCTTGTTTAAGGCAGATATGAGCTGGGGCAAATATGGTGGCGGTGGTGGACGGTGGTTGGGAAGGAGCGGAAGATATACGTTCATCCCTCCGTTCCACTCCCAGCGTACCTGCCTTTCTGTCCTGCCACACAGTCATAATGTTCAGAGTGACACGAAAACAGTAGATAGCCCTGTCATTTTTGCCTTAATTTCCTCTCTTTAACTTTTAATGTTTTGCAATTTTTCATCCTTTCTAACTCTTTTTTGTCTTCTCTGGTTTTTCCTCCTCCTCCTCCTCCAAATTCATCATCACCATCTCCTACTCTTTCAATGGCTCCCTTTCGGCATGACAAACGAAATGCAACACTGTTCGTGCCTTCGGTCCTTCCCATCCTACCTGTCTGTCTCTGTCGGTCTGCCTGCCTGTCTGTTTCTTTCCTCTGCATGATTGCATGTGTCTGTTCGTCTAACCGACCACTTCTTCATTGCATGCCTGCATTCGATCCCCCTCCACTTTGCGTATCGGAAATACTGTCATCTCCGCACTCATAACACACACACACCTGTCAACTGGAATGCATGTGATCTGTGCTCTCAAAATGTTGGTATGTTAATCGGTTGTGCTTCTTTAACGACGCCTTCTGTCTGCCCACAAATATTCCCATCCATCCGTTCAACGATTTGGCGGCCTATTTACCTACCCACTTAATGACACCTTGAATGGGATATTTGGTTCATGTCTTGAAACACCTGCGGTGTTTCCATCCCTCCAAATTTTCATCCATCGACCTCCTGAACTATTTGCCTATTATTGCACACGTCTATTCAATGACTCTTCTTTGCATTCGTGGATTAATTCAATCGCTTACTCAACCATCTTTCCACCCATCCCACTCCTGTCCGTTCATCCGGCTCGAATCCACCCATCCGTCTTTCTCTCTCTCCACCTATCCAACAAATCGACTTCAAATCCCTTTATCACCATAGCAATCACACCCACATGCAATGCATCATCACCAGAGTCGAGAACTGACCGTGGGAGGTGGTAGGACGAATGCGAGGCCAGTCAATGCTCATGTCGAGGAGGCGACGGAAGAAGAGGAGGTTTTGCGTATTACTCAGTGCTAATGAGTAGTATATGAGTGCACACGGCTAGGTAGTCCAATAACGGGCCAGTATGACCTCTGACACACACGCACACACGGCCATATACAAACATTCACGCAAACGGGCCAACTGTTCTAGACGTCTATTTCAATGATTCTCCCGAGTACCTACTGATAAACTAGACGGTGTCTTGGTGACAGTAATAAAACTGATTTTTCCTCCTCTTCTCTTCGCATTGGAGGTTGGTTCGATCTTGACTCCCTTCCATCTTCCTTCCTGTGACTAATTCATCCCGCCACCTGTCTATTCATTCTTCTCTTCACCCTCATTCAGCAGCACCTCCAACTCCTCCCCAATGCACCTATTCGATCAGGCGTCTATCCATCCAACCATCCATTCTGAATCCGTCCGTCCCCTATCTGCCCATCCACTCATGTATCTAATCATCCGTTCTCCCAACAATGCTTTTGTTAACCCTGTGTACCTTTTCCCTTCCCTTCTCCCTGATTCACCCATCTACCCCTCTCGGATCCATTCTGTATCTACACTCATCCTTCTAGCCTTCATCCAACCATTCATTCCTCCACCTATTCATTCAAGCGTCAACGCATTTACCTCCACATGGGCAAGTAAACGAAGCAGTCTACTTTGACAGCGCCACTTGCTTACCTACTTTATGATGTTTTGTTAATGATAAGTAAAAAGGGATATTTTCTCTGGTCTTTTCTGTACTTCTTGCATCTGATTGGTCGGCACTTCGGGCATAGCCTTCACCTCCTAAAAGTACACTCGATTATGCAATTTTGGCTTCAACACATCCCTGGGGAGGTTCTCAAGCATCTCCTTTTAGTTCTCTATAGTTTAGTGCATTAGTTCTTCTCCAGTTTCTAACTTTTTCCTTTTTACAAAGTTAAAGTTGGATTTGCAAATTCGTGAAAGGAAAGTGCCTTTTTTCTCCTCATCCAATTTTGGGCCCTTTTTTATTTTTTGTCCCTCTCTCTTTAGCTTAATTCGCGAATGAATTAATTTCCTCCTGCCTTTCTTTATCTGCTAAATTGTCAAATTCCACAAAATTGCCTAATGTGGTGCACAATTAGCTTTTAATGTTGCCCCATTTGCACCGAAAGTGTTCTCCCTTGGGATGGATAGAATGCCCCCCCCCCCCCCCCCCTACCAACATTGGTTACAGTGAACAGTCAATCGGAAGACGAGTTTGCGAAGTTTTTTGCATTTGATTGGCCGGTTTGCGCGCAACCAATGGGTATTAAGGAATTATCTTCTAATCCATAATGATGAGGGTCCTAGTTTTAGCATGTGACTTCATCAAGTGGACATCTGTTTAACCCCCAGTTTTCCTGATATTCTTTAAATTAATAGTTATACTTTTTGCAAATTGGGCTGTTTTTTCCCATTTACTTGCAAATAAGTACCCGGGCAATTTCTTTTCGTGTCTTGAAGACAGGGAAGACTGTGGGATAAGGTAGAGCGTATCATGTGATCACTCTCTGGCGAGTTGGCTATCTAGTAAAAGTTTTCACTTTGTCGCTAAATCCATGTTTAAATAGTGCCCAAAAGGAAGAATCACTCTTCTGCCATGCGTTGAATACTGTGGATGGACGCGTGTGAGAGAGCTGGGAGTACAAACGCATCTCCGCTATACACTCGGCTCGGAGATAGTTTTCTTTTTAATCTATGAGTGGATCGCCAGATTTAAAATGGCCATATTGACGGAGAGGTGAATGTACAGCGCTACCTACGGTTATTCAAAAACGGAAGAATTGCAATCGAAGCAGCTGCAAGGGGGTAAAACACATTATCTGATTGCCCGTATCTCCTAATTTATTATTGTAAGGCACGTGCCAGAGGACCAACATTCCAAGCTATTAGACACTGAATACCTATTCCACTTGGTTAAAACTAAGTTTGAAAAAGTGCCACGTTTATTTAAACAATCTTTCCTGTTTTCCCACCCTTTTAGAGCGAACCTTTCTACAGTTGGATCTTGTACCTCCTTGTCTCCAATTTCTCGTTCCCTTTTGATTCAAGCGTTGGATTTTTCACACCGGTCACCCCTAAGCTCACGCAAAAATGTGTTGCAACTTCGTCCCTAAGTAGTGGCATTGTCCATTCATTAGTTAAATTTCTTTTGCCACGTCCTCTCGTAGCTACTGAAAGTCTTCTTTTTTTTTCGCGTTGCCAGTTTTGGCCCACATAACTTCTGTTAAATATTTAAATGGCAAAACTTTGAAATTTCTTGAGGAAAAAGGATTGCTGCGTATTCTTGTGACAGTGGGTGGAAAGTGCCTGCAATATGCCACTGCCCTCCGCTTCTCTTCGTCTGTCTGTCCTAGTGTTAATCACGCGTTTCCACTCACCTCTGTACTGCATTGTCTGTTGCGACACCACTGCTCGCTCTATACCCATTGGGCCGAACTATGAATATGTGATGGTGATGAGTCTAAAGCAGCTAAAGTAATGCTTACTGCCTGTTTACTCACTAATGCATCAAAAGCCACGTTTAATAGCCCTAAAGTGTTTTTTTTTTAAAAAGCAAGATATCCACTTACACTCCTTAATGCCTTCTGGGCGCAAATGTCCTGTTCCTAACGGTGACTCATTGTCACTTGAAAGGCATTACTAGTCATCATGACATGAGTGACTTGTACCTTGAATTACCGTCTTGAACATCTCGCGACAACTTCTTCTTGCCCTGTCGTATGTCTGTAGGGGGCCTGAATACATTGCCATTATACCTTTGCATGTAAGGCTAGAAGCATCATTGAAAAGGTCCATTTGAAGGAAATGGAGAGCGTTTGAGCATCCCAAGGCTTTCGCTGAGAAACTGAAGTGGACGGGCAGACAGACAAACAGCCAGATAGGTGGAGGCAAGTATTTGTTAAATAGAGATGTTCGTCTTTCTATCGTCCCATTCTACAGACCAACAGAAGGTATCCCGAAATTCGATCCTCCGTCGTAGCCCATACCGAATCACCTCATCGCGGCCTGCTCTCGCGTTCACCACCGCCTCTACAAAATCCATCCACCACCACCACGGATGGCGTGGAGTATGCCGAGTTAACCTTCTCTTCGACCTCGGAAGATCGCGGGACCTCTAATGGTGGCAAGCGGGGGGTCCAAGTTGCTGCAGCGTCCTCCACGCTCGGTCGAAGGGGCTCAGCGGGTCGGCCGAGGAGGGATCCATTGCCTGGTGAGTCTGCTACTCTTCTGGGTGGATACATTTCCTCGGAATCTGCTGAGCAGATTTTGCTGATGGAATTTTTTGGTGACGATCGTTGATCCACTTATATTTTGGATTGGCATAAAATTTCTTAGTCGTCCAGAAGGTGGATTGATTGGCCTATGGGTGGGTAAATCTTGCAAGTTGTTGTCTCGGTAGTCCTCATCAAATCTTCCCAATGTCCATATGGCTGTCCTTCTTTATCGATTGTAGGTTGACAAGTTTGGGATCTTAAATGGCCTTGAAACGGATCTAAGATACGAATTCATTGAACCAGTTTTTATTGACTCCAGACTCCCGGAGATTCATCGGGACTTGGGTCTAGTCTTGCTTGAGTGTCTGTGAACCCAGAAGGACCTTTTTTGATTAGCTGGGATTCCACGGTCGATCTGTCGCCGGGCTTGCATGCCCCTGGCAACGCGGTTTATAACAGGACTGCGGGCCCTCATGTTCCATCAGCAGAATGACGCCTTCACTCAAACCACTGCATCAGCTCCTTGAGCCTTTTCCACTTGATCCCCAGGGCAGCATTCCGCCTTGTCCATCTCAGAAGGAAAAGGGGACCCCCCATTACCCTACATGATAACTTTATTCTACTGAAATGGTGATAAGTAGACACTCTTCTTACAGGTCCACCCTCCGCATCTATGCAGCAACTGCCACGATCGCACACGCAGGGGAGCGAGGATGGGGAGGGAAATTACACGGAGATAATCGGAGTGCTACAACCAAAGGCATACACGAGTCAGTTGGTGTTGAAACAGCAGCAGGAGGCCACTCAGGCCATCCTCGGCATGCATGCCAACGCCCCCTCAGTTTTTGTGTAAAGTTTTCATTCTTTCTCCTCTCTACTCACAAATCTAAAAGTAGTCGTCCCAATTCTTTTCTCGCCCTCGGATGTTGTTGTTGTTGTTGTTACTGCTCCTGATCCGCCTCCCCCTTATTCACCAATATCAAAGAACGCATTTACAATTTGTGATATGAGGCCAAGGCCACCACGGTACCGCCAACAGGCATCAGCTGTCTTCGTAACTTCGCCGCTACTAAACTCTCATTGAACTGCAACCTACCCCCCTTCCCCAACCGGTAATGATAATTTTTTGCCTACTATCATCCACTGTGTCTAATTTTTAAAGTGCTGATTAATGATTTAGTCGGCATATGTGCTGATGATCTTACCTCCTATGAACTTCTTCAGAACTATCCGGGAGGGATGAGTGAATAGGCCTAAACCGAATGAATAAATGTGTGGATTTGAGCTGAAAAAAAGCATGAATTGGTAGAGCTGAGAAAGCCGGTGCTCTCTTCTCCCTTCCACAATCATTAATGCCGTGTAACCGTGATTTGTTTCTACGGTGGCATTGCAGATAATTGCCTACAGTGTTGTTCGCATTAACGGAGCTAGCAAGTTTATAGGCACTGGCGTTAGAGAGCGAAGGTGAGAGATTATGTCGGCTGCTAATTGTATCAAAGCCGTCCACCGAGCATTCTAAAGCAAGTAAACTTAATCAGACTTCTGTATCAACAAGGGTGTCTCCGCAGTCCCTTGCCAAAGTGAGTCGCCGAGTTTAACCCTTTCGAGACAGAACAGAACGACTCCATTACGTGCCAGTTTTAATGTTCTGTTTGAGAAGGTAACTCTACATTCTCAATTCTTTCTGACTTAATTGGCTCTAGTGAAGTCCTGGTTCAAACTGCTCTTCACTTCCGCCCCACAAATTCTGTCAATCAATGAGAGAATGCATCATGCAGCTGTGCTTAGTGGTTTTGGCAAGGCAAAGGAAAAAAACTTCAAAGTCTAGCTATTAGGTGTTTTGGTTCTGTTCTAGAAAGTTCTCTTCTGTGGCTGGAAGATCGTCCATTTCACTGGGAGATTGTGCGGTCGCAAATCATCACCTCTCTCTTCGTTTAGTAAAACAAACGAACCAATCCGTAGCTGTGTTACATTAGTACGTTGTAAGTCATCTAGTCATGTATTTTGTGCGTTAAAAGGTGACAAAGACAGGCGAGAAAACTAATTTGGGGCTAAAATTAGCTATAAAATGTCAAAGTGGCGCCCCATTGGCAATTGGTGGAAATTTGAATGACCTTGAACTGGAAACCAATCATCGTGGATCTAGCGGTTATTCCCTACAACTTGGTTTTCTGTGCCGTATTGGTAGAGCAAAAAGCTTCGGCTTCGTTGTCCCATTGCTGTGGATGGCTGAATTGATGAAAACTCTCCATAATAGTCCTATCCATGTCCTCCTTTCGGAAATCAAGCCACCTCACTTTCGTGTCTTCCAGCACAAGGGGGCTTCTCACCTCACTTTCACTAAGGTGTATGGATTGGTAACATTGCATTCCATCCTTCTTGCAACTACAAGAACTTGGTTATCAGCATTGACCTAAGCGTTGACCACTGGGAAAATAGAGCGGTTTTGGAAAGCAATCTGTAGACTTTCAAAGAAAATAAAACTAGAAAGGGTGTTGAACAGCTGACCCCTCGCAAGAACTATTGATCCTCCCACCTCAAGGTCAGACTCGATTCAAAAGTCCCGCGCTCGTGTCCTAAAAACGCTTTTTTCACAGGCATGACAACCTCATTCACCTCAACTGACAGTGACATTATTTCCAACACTTCGTTCAGTGAAGCCTCAAAAAAATTGGCCAAATCTTACTACCCGTTTGTTTGTGCGGATAAGAGGAATCTGGCCAGGTCAATTGTTGACCTCCAGGCCAGTTTTGAAGTGGCCTTCAGTGCTCTGGAGGATATTGAACGGACCGGAGGGGATGTTGAAAGTCTTCACTATGCAATCTATGGACTGGAGGAGGCCCTTTCTCGTGCACTTACTGAACTCATTGTTATTCGCGACGAAGTTCACACTCTGACCTTGGCTCTGAAGCAGAGTGAACAATTCAACCTCAAACTCTATGAACAACTTGTAAATTTGGATCACGAAGCCACCGATGGCATTGAGAGCAGTCAGCAGACGCTAAATGCCTCCAGATGCATGACCAATAAGTACCGCATTCCACAGACTACCAAAGAGGCTCTAGGTCGAGCTTGGATTCGCGATAATGCAGAAAAAGCGCATGGTGATGTAACCATCACCTCGCTTCTCTCATCTCAACAAGCTTCTAACGAGTTTCACAGTTGGGTCTGTCGAATTCAACGCGATTTATCCCGTCGTCATGCTGAATTCAGCTTCCTAATGTTGGGTTTATGGACCGAGGAGGTGTGTTCCAACTTCAACCTCACGGAGGATAATTCCGGCGACGAAGAAATTGGATGCTTTCGTCGAAAGAGTCACAAGAGTGAAAGCCCTAGTGAAGAGGTTTCTCGACGTCGAGAGGCTGCCATGCGATCTCTCCTCCTAACTCGTCATATCAAGATTGATGATACGTCCGCCACTCTGGGATTGATTCAATCTAAGGTGCAAGAGCTGGGCGATGAAGTCTTCACCGAGCTGCGACGCAGACGAGAGAGCTTGGAGGAGGCAAGGTCCCTTCATCGAACATTGAACGACCAACTGAGTGGTCGTCGAAACCAGTTGGTGGAGAGCCTTTTAGCCACACACCAGGCAGTACAAACCTTGTTGGAAATGGACGAACAAAATGACGGATTGGTGGGAAAGTTGATCAAGACGCGTCCACTCTTTTCCGAACTGCAAGAAGCTGTGGTTAAAGGCAGTGGTAGTGGTGGTGCTGGTGGTGAAGGTAGGAATTTTGAATTCACAGGTGAGACGGCAGCTGAGTCATCGTTCCAAGCGTTGCCGGAGGTCCTAGGCGTAGAGGGCTGGAGAGAATTGTTGGATAAGTTGAGAACCGTCCGTTTGAGTGGTGCAAGGACCTGTAATGCATCAAATCATACCCCGAGGTTGTTCAAATACGTAGCTCCGGTAAGAAGTCGACTCAGAAGGCTGTAAATATCGATGGTTAATTGAATGTTTCGTACTGGGGATTTGAATTCTTAATAGACAATAGGGAAACACCGATGTGTCCGCCTTTGTCTACGCAGGGCTACGTAAGTCTCGGGCTCACTCGCTTTGAACACTTTGGCATTGTTGACTAGAGACAGTGTCCAGTTACCGAGGGGGGGGGGGGGTATAGAAGGAAGATCGCTAGTATTGGTAAACATGTGATTTTAAAGTTGATTTGATGACACTAAGAAGTATGCAAAAGAAAGGTGGCTAAGAAGGCAATAGGAAGCCGATGGATCCTTCAATGAGTACATTTATCCTTCATCCTTCGATACACTGGGCGAGGAGGAGGTTTTGAAGCTTGGTCGTGGTTATTGGCTGCATGGTTGGTTGAAGTGTGTACCAAATTTTTTGATTTCGTCCGGTGCGACCTTCACTTTTATCGCAGCGCAAACAGCACACCTCTCTCTCTGGCGTATCATCACCATTATTTCCGCTACCCTGATTGTCGCCTGACTGGCCCCCTTTTGCCTGATAGGAGATAATTTACAGTGAACTCTCCGCTGTAACCATAGGTGGTCAGATCCTGTATTCACATTCTTTAAGGTTAGCAACCGGTTTTTTTGCCACATGAGATGAAATCAACTAAGTAACGGGAAGAACGTCCTCGCTGTCAAGCAGTCTGAGCCGCATTCTTTAGATCGCCCTGATTTACAGATATGTCTTCCCATTTCTCCTGCTGGCTTCCAGCGTCACACATATGTGACGCATTAGTGTCGTAGTCCATATCGCGGTCTGATCGCCTAATCATATATTCCATCCTGTCTGCCCTGCCATCTGCCCTTCCTTAATACTGTCAACCCCTATCCTCACGACAAAACTTATGAATCAGGCAATCAGAAAATTCGATATATTTCTTGTTCATGTTCAAGGTCTCCCATCTATATCGGAGTTAGTACTTGAAGCCCCTCTCCCCGACACAACGACAAATTTGTTGGTTAAATCAAGTGTAGATCGTTGGCGCGGACGTCCTGATGTTTGGCAACTCTGCCGATGCCTTCTTAGGTGTTTTCGTAGAAGTACCTTCTGCAGAGTGCCGCGTAGAAGCAATCGAACCTAAGAGGAAATAAGCACTTTTGATCCTCTTGTCTTCTGTGGAGAAAAAAATTGTACACTTGTCTCAAATAGGGTCTAGGCCAATTGATCGAGAGCTACATCGATCCGATTCGAAAAGGTGGATAATTCCTTATTTAACTACATAATTCGGCTCAGAAATGAGGCCCTATGGTGGCCTCATACACATTAAATTTACTCCATTTTTTAAAATCAACTTATCATAGGTAATGCGAAAAAGGTGTGGTGGTGGAATATGGATGAATTTCTCGCATTCGCTGTACATAGATCAACAAATGTCCTCACCTCCTCATTCAGGAAGCAGTAGATGAGAGCAACCCAGAAACCCTACAAACAGAGAGAGTGAAATTTATTGCATTGCAGTGATTTGACATTTTATTCAACTAACTAACTAGACGGACATTCCATCCTCTGCAGGTCGCGTCTTCACCCTCTGGCATGGGCTTTGGACAGTGATGAGAGCTTGTGACATATTCTGTGCGTTGGTAAGGCGTTTGGCCTTTCAATCATCAGGAAAGACTCGAAAAATTAGGGCATAACAAAAGCCTCTCTCTTTTTATCACTTTCCTTTCTGAAGACTGCTTACCAAATTAATAAGTACAAGCCCTTAAATATATTTGAATGCATTATTCCACAATTTAGAAGAAACAGCGGTGTTTGGTAAAAAGGGGGAGAAGCTTCCTAATTTCGATAACTACAAACTTGATGATCAAAACTTTGTTCAAGAATATGACAACTCCTTAAATGAAAGCAATTAAATAACATGGTTAATGGGTCTTCGTCGGGAAATCATATTTAAGTTTTAACACCTTACTTTCTGCATTGAACAGGTTTGCCAATACGAGGACAAATTAATTCCTGTGAAGTTTTTCGAAGTAATCACCGCCCCCACCAAGTTTCATTTAACAGGTCATTCGGTGCGTTTTAACGAACTCAATAAACAATAATGTGTTTAAAAATGGCTCCAACCGATATTTGGGATTGGATAAGGCATAAATAAATTTCATCGCCGTCTACGAATATGGCTGAATTCACAGATAGTCACACTTCAAAATAAATTATGAAAAACTGTGGAACGCTAAGCAATAACAAAAGGACTTAGTTTTAAAAACAAAAAAATCCAGGAAGTTTTAACCCACCTGAGTAGATGTGACAACAGCATTGACGTAGGTGAAGATTTGTACAACTGAGGGATGATAGGGAACAATAAAAATGACCTGTGGGATCCCCAACAGTGGAATCAGCGTAAGACAGGCCTTCAACGATTTCCTAATTTTGTAAAAAAATGACATAAACGACCAAGAATCACAAGTTAAAATGATACTCTAGGGCCGGAAAAATTACACGATCTTCAAGCGGAATCTCAAAATAACATAACACTGGAATTTTACAGACGTTTCACACAGTGTGCATTCACCGTCATTCACTTCAATTATCCAAGGGCCTTAAGTGACGCCAGTGAATACTGCCAAAAAAAATGCACATTCTTCTCTTACACTCACTTCTCATACAGAGTGATTAACGGCTCTAACCTTATAAGATAAGTGAAATAGGTTTGCTTGCACCACCATGATGGCGCTCCACAGCGGTCTCCATTTGTCCCACGAAATGATTCATAACAGCAGATTTTTTTACGGTGCTCGTTAGCAATTTCGTTTAGCCATAGCAGGTAAATTTCTGCTCTGGACGGGCAAAATCGCATACACAAAGTACCTAGAGGCGTAACAAAAGACAGTCGCCTCCTTTGCTGATGCAATCTGCGTAAATGGTTTAATCCTAATCACAGGGTGACGAGTCAAACCGTTGGCTGTGACAGCAAGCTGATTGTTAAGCAGACAATAAAACTCAAAGCCTGCGGCCACGACTGACAGAGTGACACGATACAGTTGCCAAGGCAGTCAGAAAAGCAAAGAACATGTTGCTCAATATCATTCAAAATGAATGAGGGGTTTGGAAACAAAAAATGTGCATCATTGAAAGTACCACCTGCCTTGGAGACTAATTAATTAAAGTAATGTTTATATAAAGACAAAGAGCAGAGAGAAAAAAGGAGGGATTTCGATCAACCAGTCCAAAAGGGAATTAAAATGCCTACTGAAAGCGCGTTTAGCGTTTATAGGCTCAAAATTTCGTTATTAGAACCAATGAAGCTGAATTAAATATCGAAAACTGTTCCTTATATTTCAGAGTAGTGTGAAAGCTGTCTGATTTGCCAAACATGGATACATAAGCGGTTGTCTTCAAAGGAATACTCTCATCCGACCATCCGCTAAGCCTACTGGCAATAATTTCCCTTAATACCTTCAAGTGCTTATAAATTATGCAATTTCTCCCTCCTGAAGCAAACTTCTTCCCACACACTAGCATTGCATCCTCATCGAAACATCCCTCAAATGGTAGGGCAGAATCAAGTTGGTCTAGTTTACTCAAAACAAGGTCTCGCTCTCCCCATTTCCCGTGACGTCGCGTTCCACACCTCTCTATGAAACTGGGTGCACAAAATCCCCCAGCAGGGCTGATCGCAGGTGGCAAAACCCTCCCAAGTCCTCATTCCCTTCCCATTGATTGAAGTGGGTTAGCTGAA